CGTATCCTGGGCTGCATCCAAAGCAGGGTAACCAGGAGGTCGAGAGAAGGGATTCTGCCCCTCTGCTCTGCTCTGGTGAGACCCCCCCTGCAGTACTGCCTTCAGCTCTGGGGCCCCCAACACAAGAGGGACATGGACCTGTTTGAGCACGTCCAGAGGAGGTCACAAAGATGATCAGAGAGCTGGAGCACCTCTCCTGTGAGGACAGGCTGAAAGAGTTGGGGTTGTTCAGGCTGGAGAAGAGAAGGCTCCGAGGAGACCTTAAAGCAGCCTTCCAGTACCTAAAGGGGCCTACAAGAAAGCTGGGGAGGCACATTTTACAAGGGCATGGAGTGATAGGACAAGGGGCCATGGCTTTAAACCGGAACAGGGAAGGTTTAGATTAGATATTGGGAAGAAATTCTTCCCGGTGAGGGTGGTGAGAAGTTGTGGATGCCCCATCATTGGAAGTGTTCAAGGCCAGGCTGGGAGGGGCTTTGAGCGACCTGGGCTAGTGGAAGCTGGATGGGGCTTTGAGCAACCTGGTCTGGTGGAAGGTGTCCCTGCCCATGGCAGGGGGGTTGGAACAAGATGGTCTTTAAGGTCCCTTCCAACCAAACCATTCTATGATTCCATGAACCTAGTCTTTATGCTGTATGGATGCTGGCTTTTTGTGAAGGCTCACAGATACAAAGCAATTATATTAAAAATTTTAATAAAATGAAAGAAACACAAGAGCAGAAAAGTTCCCAGTTGAATCTGGGAGCAGGGCAGATAATTTCCATTCCAATTAGCTTGAATTTAAAGTCCAAATTCTCTACGGGCTCTGACAGTACCATACAGAATGGTTAGACTTGGTAGGTGAAAAGACAATCCCTGCCTTACTTTACACCTCCTGAAATTAATGCAGTGACTTTGATGGAGCTAGGATATTATTCATTGAGGACTGTCAAGAGGGTCTTGTGGAGAACAAGAAAAGGCAAATAATTATTTCCACTCTAGGTTCATAGTTAGCATTGTCTGAAAAACTATCTGCCATGTGTTAGCTGCTTCTTTCTTTCAGCTGCTGCTCATGGGATTCTATTTTTGTGGTATGAAGTTAGGAGAGAGATATTTTTAAAACAGGCTCTCCTCGGAGCGACACATTGACCAGTGCTCAGTCTGGCTGAGAAAGACATGTGCAGATGGGAAGTGGCCAGAAACTGGAGAATACTTGACCTGTAGGACCACAGCAGTGTAATCTGATGCTTTTTTCCCAAGTCTGACATAACAAACTTTGCAGGGATTTACAGCACCTTTACCCTCAACTTGACGTCAAGGATTCTAACACTGTCATCTTAACTCCTGTGGCACAGAAGTGGAAATGATTCTGAGAATACTGCTTCAATTTGGGAGCCAGAAAATTTTTCCAGGCAAGAACTGATTTCAATTTACTGAAAAACATCTTCCTAGTGTGAATTTGAGTGGCAGATTCTGGCCTTCTGTATTTAGGTTAAGTTGAACTATGGGCAACAAAAAAGCAGCTGGGCTGTAACTTTGAAAAGAGAGAATTTTAAACTTTGATTCTGCTCCTTCTGCTGCAACATTTTTTTCTCTTCCTATGCCTACAGAGGAATGGAAATAACATTCTGGAAAAGGAGGAAGCAGTCATACTTCTGTGGCATTGAAATGAGTCTAGATCTTGTCTGTTTTTCATAGATATTCTTGGGAAGACCAGCTAAACCTCTGGCAAATCAGGGGCTGAAAATATCCAATGAAGTTCTATTCCCACTTGGCATACAGTATTTGTAAGTCAGCCTCTGGAGAGCACACTAATGAGCTGCAGCTCCAGGTTAAGAGACTTACTACAGTTTTAATGAGCTGTCAGAAGCTTGTTTACAGTCACAAACGTCTCAGCCAGGTGCCCATCACTAGCACTATCCTTAGGCAGGCCAATTCAGGGTAGGAATTTCTATCCAAAAATGCAGCTCGGAAATATGTACTGCCACTCCACTGCATACACATGCAAGCTCTGTTTTAATTCCCCCTTCTCCAGTCTGCCCTCTGGGCATGCGAGAACAAAGGCTGCTCTGATTTATTGTGGTTGTCAGTTGCTCTAATATGCCAATGGGTGTTAGGGTACAAGGAACTTCAACAAGTAATCTTTTTCAATATGCTCCTCCAATGCAGTCTCTTTTAGCCTCAGGCCATCTCATCTGGTGGGTGATATAGCTTTGGAAGCACTAAACCTATTTTATGGCCTATATTGTCCTGGGAGTCTTCTGCAAAGTGACCATCACAAGGCATAAGAGATGGTGATTTATTGCATTAAACTGGTACTTGGCATGTACTGTCACAAAAATAATTGTGTCATTAGCTCACCTATCTGAGAAAGTTTAACTGTACAAAGTTGTTTTGTTTTAAAAGGAGGTTTTTTTATTCTCCCATCAAGAACAGCTCAATTCCCATAATATTAGTATCCATCCTTCCACATGTACTATAAGAGAGATCCTAGAACCCATATAAAGCAGCCCAGTTCTTCGACTGCAGACTTAACAAACTGGTTGGCTCTAGTAGACATTTGGCTCTTGGCATCTTTTTTTGAGAGATCTTCCTTTGTTCGCACCTGTACTTCCCACCTACACTGTTTCTTATAGACTAGTAGACTCACCTTTACTCTTTCCTTAGACAAGAAATAAGCAGTGGCATGTAGTACATCTGCTGCATGAGTAGAATTATGGTATGAGTTGGAGGAATGGTAGTTAGCTTCAATAACTTGTAACCATGACCTCAGAGTTGATTCTGAACAGTTTAGGAATTCACAGATTCCAAAGCGAGCAAATATTTTGAGGCCCAGGTAAACCAAAGGCCTGTGAAGAAAAATAAATGCAAAATTTTAAAACAAATGAGGTTGAAATAATATTACATAGCATAAACAGTATGAATCTATACAGCATTTTTAAGTAATGACATGGCAGATTAGGTATAAGGACTTGTAACAGAATTACAATCCAGACCTGTAGAAATGTTCTGCCTACCCATCATATGCACACTCTCAGGATCATGCCAGTTCCTGACACTTCCAGGAATATTAAAAAGGTTCTATATTGCTGCTGTACTACATGTGGCAGTATTTTGGGGCTTGAGGAGTCTATATTGGGTAAATGTAGACGGCAGTCAAAATGAGATAAATTAGCAAGTACTAAACTCTGCACATGAGAGGAGGAAGGTAATATTGTTGCTGCCACAGATTCCTAAACTAGCTTGTTTACAGTTAGATTAAGCATATCTATACTATACAATGCCGCAATCACTATTCTTTCTGCACTGCAGATCTGCTCCATTTCTTTTACGCCCATCCTTGCAGGCTTCTATCGCTCATTGACTTTGCATGCAATAGAGGATGAGAGATGGAGGTATTCTGGAAGCAAATGACTAGGCCAGAGTATGCCATTTCTAGAAGACTATAAGGGCCAGATGAACCTTCAGGCTAACCCAGTCAGAGACCTGACTCCAAAAATAGCCAACATCACTGTTTTCCAGTGCTTTTGTCTCTCCCAGGCCAAACTGCACAATTTAAACCCAGATGACTGGCAGGTGAATGAAGATCAGAACAGAATATTTCTAATCTGAAAGTTGTGAAAATGCGGTATGTTTAACAGAGCAAATGAAAACAAAATTTTTAGTCCACTAGTCTTTTTTTTGAACCCAGTTAATACCACTGTTTTCTTGTCCAATACATTTTTTTCGCTTAACAAGAACAGGTATAGTGGTAAATATTGTCAAATATGAATTCTTAAAAATAGATCTTAAACCCTTATTTTGGCATTTCACTTTGCTGCTTGATTCCAAATGTGTCAAGCACACTGATTTTTAGCTGCACTTGACAAGTGAGGTGAGGTCATTTGAGTTGCTGAGATCATTTAGAGTTGGATGTACATCTTTTAGCGAAAACACTCAACAATACTGTGTCATAACTACAATAATAATATACTAAAGTTTAATCCTCCTTAATCCCCCCCATGTAGTACTGTCAAAGATCTCTCCAGGCTTCTGTCTCAGTGAACTGTAATGCACTAAAGCTTAGATTTAATGAATTATCTTGGCTTTACTACCGTATGTCTGCTTGGACTTGAAGACAATACTAATAACATATTCATCCTTGTGATTCATCGAAGATCACTTTAATTCTCTCAGTAAATGAATTGCCTTATTTAAACCCAGCAGGAAGCAATCATAATTATAATACCTTTAATAACAGGACAGGCAACAAAGTACCTTCTTTGTCCCTCTGTGGTCTCTCCAAATCAATAAGAACAGAGAAACCTATCTGGTGAGCTCATGCATGTTGGCTGGGATAATTAATTCTTAAGTTACTGCAATGTGTGTATTAAATGTTGTAAATCAGACAGAATGACTACATTTTGTCTTTTTTTTTTTTTTTTAATTACTGTATCTACAGCACTTCATTAGAAATGGAAATGTAGTAAAGCAAAAAAAAGACCCTAAAGTAACTGGATGCAAATTTCTTCACTTACAATAAAATCACTTTAAAGAATAAAAACCTGATTTTTTTCCACTTTTTTTGGCTCACAAAACTATAGTCTAAAAATGAAGTGCATATATGTTAACCAAATGCCTGGTATCTTTCTTAGACATTGTTTTTTAATAACTTTCAAAGCTCTTACAGATGTGGGATTTTGACAAGGCTTTAAGATAGTCAATTCATTGCAGGATCTAGCCTCCAAATTAGTGTCTCGTAGAAGCTTTAAGCAAAGACAAAGCATGATACATGAAACTAGACCCAAAGGAGAACTTTTGATAGGCATCGGAGAATAAAAACAAAGACTTAAACAGAAATATCAATTTACAGTCTTAGTGGGAGCATTTGCTACTAATGAAGTACAGTCTATCAAAACTGCTGATCTGCTTTTGAAAACTTCTGTGATGGAAATTGGTATGCCCTTCTTTTTATCAGTAAATATTCTTCAGTTAATCTTATACATAAAATGTAGCCTGCCAAGATTTTAGAATAAAGACCTTCCTCTAATCCCAGAGAAAGGCAATGGGAATTCTGCTGAAAAGCTGTATTTGAACTGTTCAGGAATAAAAATTACCCAATTACGTGGAGAGAAAATAAAACATGACCTGTATCAACTGATCAAATTAAGACCAGCATGTTGACTCTGGGTGTAGTTGGCTATAATTTGAATTTGAATCCCCACAAGACAACAATTTGATTTGTAGAACTTTTCTATTACTGAGAACAGAAAAAGGCGGCTTTTAAAATTATGTTCTTTTGTTATTATATCATATCAAAAATATATAATCTTCACTTACATCCACTGGGAATCTGCATGAAATAGTGTATGATGAAACAGAAAATATTTAATGGGTTCATACACAACTAGAAATGACAATGAGAAAATTTCAAACATTTGACTTTGAAAATAAAAGTAATTCCATTTAAAAGCATAGGTAGAGGAATTAAAGAGCTGATTACAGGATGACATTTAAGTCAGTTTTCAGCAACTTCAATTTATGAGCTCCTGAGTTTACTGACCTTTTCTGGGTGGCAGCCTCAAGTTCAAAGATATCAAAATCCCAGTGTTCTTCATTTTCCATTGCCTGTGTTATCCGTGGGGGTATGTCATTGAGGGAGATTGGAGAGATCAAACTGCCAGCAGCCTGATGAGATTCTGTTGAGGAATATATTTGCAGATCACTATGAATAACCCCGAGATACACTTTTATTCAATGTACATGTTTTCTTTTCTGTAGTACACCTGGCAACTCCCATTTCTATAAAGCTCAGTAATGCTGCAGAACAATGCTTATAAATAAAAATAAAACAAAACCAAACAATGCTTATAAAAAAAGAACATCTGATCACATTTCCTCTGTTTCTTAAATTTAACATGTTTTAATACGTCAGTAACTGCCAAATTAAAACTTACGTTTTGCTGACAATATGTATTTGTTCCCTGATAATCTTCGTAAACCATCCTGTTAAATAAAAGTTGAGAGTTAAATGCAGGGTATTGTATAAAAGGTCTATAAGATGATGACACCAAAATAGTAGCACAATGACTTTAGAAAAGCCTGATGGCAACCTGTCACAGTCATCAAAGCTGCCTCTCCCTTATTTATGTGTACTGTTAAGATTTGCCTGTTTTACATATAGTTCATAATGGATGAGAAACTGCAAGATATTGGATACAATATGAACTCAGATAGGTAAAAACTCAAATTTCTCAAGTGCAGATGGAGCTCTGGAATTAGAGCCTCACATCCACCTTTGTCTGGACAACACACAGAGGTTCTAGATGTGTGCCACAAACCAGACACAGTATGTCCACATACTAAATGCTGTGGCCCAAATCCTGCTTGCTCTTTTGATGTATACAGCTGTTAGTTACTGCACATTAACGTTTAGCCCATGATGTAAAAAAAGTTATTAAAAAAAAAATATTTTTCTGAATGCACCTAACCATGTTATGCACCCAAAGTATAGCAGAAGTAAATGTGGATGCTATATTTGAACATGCAATGTCTGTACTTAAAAGAACTGTTTTATCTTATTTTTATTTTCACATTTGTAAGTAAATTAGTCTGGAGTTTTGCGATTTAAAAGGAAAGGGAGTACTGCTACTGTAACTGGCTCAGTAACTCTTCAATAGCACTGCTATGACACAAATATTTAGGACACTAGATGCTGTCTATCATTTAGAATCAAAGATTAGTATTTTAAGAGTTAAAATAGCAGGTGTAGTTGTATCTGGCAAATCCATCTTTGAACTCTAAATGCCCTTCCCATCAATAACCTACTACTTGTTCCTCTACTCAGACATAACTTCTGAACATGAAATGGAATAGTATGATTCTGTTTTCAACAGACCCTTTGCTGGAAAAATGTTTTTCCCAGATCATTTTAAAACTCATACTATACCATATACCCTCATGCTCTGAAATGGATTTTCTCAGCTTTTCTACTGCTCCATAAAATAGCCTTTGTTTTATTTTTAGTAAGGATTTTGTATTTTGCAATATTGATACCTACATGTTCTGGGACCATGGAATGAATACAGTACGTAATACAGTATTCTTGACAAATGTATGTAAGAATCAACAATCCACAAAAAGGAGAAAACAGTTTGACTTTATGGACTGTGTGTATTCAGCAGGAGAAAAGATTCACTTTGAGACTTTAATGATTATCTGTATCAGTATTCTCCCTATATCTTTACAGATAAGGTAACAATATATTTTGTCTATTGAGTTGGTAAATTCAACCCTATATGAACCATTCAGGTCTTCCTTCTCCTGGAATTCTTGAAGACTCTCATATGTTTCTCCTGATTAGATATTAGATATATGTGGTATCTTAAAAGGCAAAAATACATGTAAACTGTTTCAAGATTCTGATAGATACTGCAAAGGCATCTTGATAGTTACAGCATGAAATGATAATAGCCCAGAGACATCTCTGAGAAGCTCACATCTTGTGAGCCTTTTTGCATCCAACACACTGTCCATTTTTTTTCCTGAGGTAGCCTTTTATATGCAACGTACTGACTAATGGTAACACATATCCTTAAGGCACAGGTAACATTCATCCAAGTTCATCTAGTTACTATTAGGAGGGTCAGACTCCAGGCTCTGAAGGTTTGTGTTCAATTCTTGCTTTGCTACATGCCCTTTGTTCAACTTTGGTTACAACACTTGTTTTTCCAATGCCCCCATTCCTCTTTTCATAACCTAACAACATAATACATGCCTTCTTCAGTCTTCTTCTTGCCTTATTTTTAAATTATGAGTTCTGTGGAGCATGATTTTGGTTTAATACATGAACAGTCATGTTTCTGGCTCAAAACACCCTGATCTTTCTATGAGTCTCTACGGGTACAAATATAATCCAAGAAAAAACAACAAAAATATATATTTTGCATTCCTTTGAAAACACATTCTTTCTATAGACTGAAAAGCCTCCAAAACATGCCATTCTAATCCTAATTAATAAACACAAGTGTCTACCTATCTTTCTTTCTTCCTCTCCCATCTATACCTTTCTAAAATGAACCACATTGAAAAAATAATTGGTTTTCCTTTCCATTTCTAGTAAAACTAATGCTTCAAAGGGTCTGGTCAATTTTCTTCCCATTTTCAGAGCTACATTATTAATGTAGGTGGAGAAAAAAATCCACAAAAAGAGGTGTGCAATTTTTCCTGAAAATTTCGCATCGTAGAGGCAAAGTACATGCCAGATGATAAAGATCATGTAACCGGGAAAATCAGGCAGTGGAACATTAATCAATAACTGTTTGTGGCAGTATGTACTTACTGTCATTAACCCTCCAACGAGGTCACTTGTATGTGGATCTTCATCCTTTGTCCCCAGTTGCGGAGAGTACAATTCAGTGGTTCTTAAAATCTCCAAAGCCCGGTCTAAAGCTTCTGCAACTGCCATTGGGCTGCTTTCTTGTGCAGCAGTGATGATGTTTATTACCTAGTTTAGCATTAGACATGTTTTGAATTTAGAAGTGATTTAAGAAAGAACAGAGACATCAATTACTATGGAAAAGTCATAGCAAATAAACGAGATCTACAACTTTAATCCACATGTGGGAGAATCAAAATGAAAGGGATGTTAATAAAACACTGATGTCTGCTACTGACTCTGGGAACAAGATCGTGGCCTTAAAGACAGTTGTCTTATTAATGACTTTCCTGTTCAAGGCATGGCCTCAAAATGTCTCTGAATGGATTTAATATAACCTTCTCCCATTTGCCTTTCTCAATTTATTAGAGAGCTGATTTTTCCCAAATACTTGAATGGTTTCAGAAGGCAGTTTACAATGCATAAGTAAGAAGGAGGAACTCTAGTCCCTCCTTCACATAGGCAAAAGTCTTTAAAAAGCGTCGTGCAATGGCTGGGAGGGCACCCTACTCTACCAAGCAGGCTTGGGAGAACTTTGTTCAGAGCATCTGGCTTTTTGGAGCTCCACCAACGGGCAGGTGGAACAGGGGAAGAAGTTGCACCAGAGGCCAGCACTGCCTTGCTCCTCAGTCTGGATGATGTACTGGAGCCTTGTGCCCCAGTATTCCAGTACAGCACAACTGACAACAGCTAGTGACAGTGCACATTACCTTGGTGATGGGTGCTTCAATAGTCATGGAATGTATCCTGGCCATAGAAGAGTGCCTCCTTTGTGAGCTGCCTGTGTGGAAAACAAAGCAGAATTTGTATCCTTATTGCAATGACAAGGCATGACAGGAGGATTCAGCCAAGACTCTTGATTCACTTTGTGAACTGCTTACTCTGCTGTGCCTTTCATAGGCAATCTATTGCAGAATGCGTACACATGATTGTTATGCTGGGGACACGCAAGTGCAAAGAGATGCTTGCTGAACCACTGGTATCCCTGATTAGAAATAAGTAGCTGTAGCAGCCTGGCAAAATCATGGCTTTGTTTTTTTTATTTTAACTAATTAAAATATTCAATTAAAAAAGCAGTTAAAAGACTATACAGATGCCTGTGCATATAAACTGGCAGGCACAGGTAGGTAAATATTGCACTTAGGTTATTACAGGATATATCTATTTTTGCTGCCTGATGCAACATGACAAGTCATAATGAGTCAGCTTCCAAGCTGAGGTAAATGAGTGAAGCTCCTCTGAAGTGAAGATAGCTATGCCAAATTAAAACAGCAGAAGTTCTGGCCTATTATTTGTTGGAAATTGAAAAACAAATGTTTCATATCAGTTAACGATTTTGGTTCTGTAGAGAAAAGGCCAAGATGGGATTTTTCTGGATGATTATGTTGTTCTACCTATAAAATGCACACACATCTCTGTTACTCTTTGCGCTGAGCAGCTCTTAAGAAGAAGAATCAATGCTATTTTTGCAATACTGGAGCATGATTGTATTCTCACTGCCACAGACCTACTTCCATGTTTCACTAGTGTATGCTGCCTAGACTGTAATGATATATGCTTTAACAAAGTCATGTGTCAGCAACAGTTTTGAATATGTGACTTATCTATCAAGTTTGGGGTGATCTAATGGAGCAAAATACAACACAGTGAAAAAAAATCAAAATTCATAACAAAATTCTCTTCATATTTTTATCAAGAGAAGAACAAATGTAGTAATTTTTTAGGTTTAGAATTTGCCATTTGTACTTGAAAGTATCTGTGTTGAATCTCATGAGGTCTTCCATGCAGGATGGTAGACGATAGCCTTCCATTCTTCACTGGTTCAAAAAAAGACTCGAAGTAGCTCAAGAGAAGAAAATGGGGCTACTTGATAAATGTAAAGTCATTCAGGAATTGATGAGTTGTTATTTTATTCATGTGTTTATATACACATACATACTTACCTATATTTGCATATGTATGTATGTGTATGCACATAGAAATCTGAATATATATAGAAATCAGAAGAATCTACTTGTTTAACATACCATCACTCCCTCGTGATGTTGTGGATCTGACATCTAGTGATCCTTTCCTCCTGTCTTTGTGTCTGCAAGTCTGAGTATCTGTGGAGAAGATGGTATCATACAATGACATTAAGCTGTGCCTAAGATGTATGTTAAAGGAACTGAAATTTGGACAAAGCCTGATAGCAGACTGAGTGACATTTACCACAATGCTTCTGCAGATGACAGTCAATGAAAGCTCCTTTTTAAACTCTCGCCCAATTACACTGTCACAAACCCCGTCATGCTCTCTGGCAGAACATGCCTAACTGTTTTTGCAGAAGGGATCTAACAGTGTAGAAGGAAAAGTTCCTGGCTTGACACAGTGACACAATTGTAGTTGTGAATACAACTTGTACAACCCACCTAAGTTCACTGAAGTAACAACTGCCACAAAGAACTAGTGGACCAAAGTAGACTACACACTACCAAACTAGGCAATGTATCCTAGGTCCCTTACTGACTCCAACAGATACAATCTGTGCTACCAAGGCTACAATTAACAAGTACCTGCAGCATGGATCCCAAGGATGTCTTAAATGAAGTGTTAATATGTGGGATGAGGGTGAATGGTAGTGTTGGTCATCCTCATTTCCACTCACATGCGAATACCCCACAATACAGTTAAAAGCAATGCAAACATACATGCCACTAGCTATAGACCAGCCACAGCAACATGACAACTAGATGCCATCCTTCTTATTTCTAATTTTGTCACAGGGCTCTGCTACCTATAACTGAAATGTGACACTGAGTCCAGCAATACCACAATACCAGCTTGGGGCCCTAGTACTGCGTTTTCAAGGGTGGGTTCCTTTATATCACTTCTGAAGCAAACAAGGCAGGTAGAGAGGACTTGTATTTATTTTCCTGCCTTTTGAGCTGGATTCCCAGCTTATTGCTAGCTAAATAGTACTGTTCGGACTGTCCTGTGCAACTGTGGTTTTCAGTCAGATCACTAACAATGGGCTTTATTTTTTCCCCAAGTACATCCTCCGCTTATTAGGACAGAAGAGATGTGTCATACCTGTCTGAGAGTCAGCCTGAATACGTTCACATGTCTTCTCCGCCTACAAATTAGTACAAGAAATCTAGTTAGTCAGAACTTTCCCATTATTCTGTAATATTTAGGGCTCAAACTAAAGCAAGCATACCACTATTTTCACTTACCTTATCGTTGTCATTGCACAGTCTACTAATTGACACATAGTGTCTAATCTTTCTGCAGGCAAAAAACAGTGTGTTAATTCCCATTCAAACCTGAGCTCTAATTTAGTGCTGATACACAAAATGGGTAAGAGCAACAAATTACTATACGACAAATCCTGTTCTGGCAGGAAGGCTCAACTAGGAATGGAAAAACCTCACAGTTCTGCACGTGATGGGGAATACAAAATGGAAGCATCTTTTGCAAAGACTGTTTCCTCCTCTTTCTCTCTGCCCCGCCCCCCAGCTTCTTCTGGGCTGCTGTAGGATGTTTCAGGTATGATACAAATGTGAAACATGCAACAGTGCAGTCCAACAATCAAAACCTTCTGTAAGATTTAGGGATAGAGCAATCAAACTGAAAACTACACCCTTGATTACCAGGAAACTTTCTAAGCCAGCTTCAAATGGGCTTAGATTGTTCCGTAAGTAGCAATGTATGTAACGCATATTGGTCTTAAAAGTTTGGCATCTTAAGCTGAGAATATGTTTTCACTCTATTGAGGGAGAGTAGAGAACATAAATTACTTTGAGGGATGAAATCAACCCAACACACTTCTCTTTTTTTAAGAAGTAACTGCATGAAGAAGCTGTATTTGGCCTTTCCTTCATGAAGACACCTTTCTAAACGATTGTCTCGGCCAAGTCTGGAAGATAATGTACTGTGCTTTTACTTAATGTTCCTATTGCCTTAGAGGGCTTTGAAACTACTATTGCATGCAATGTGATCCACTTTCTTTCCCAATATAGTATAGAAGGACTCATCATGAATGTACCAATAACTAACACATACCTGTGTGCTCCAAATGATCTCTTTGGGGACCAAGTAGGAGTTGCACAAAAATCAAGACATGCTTGAATTTTGACCAGGATCAAATCATCACATAAAGACACTTGGCACAGCCATGAATAGGTGAGCATGGACGGACATAGTAGAGGTGCACAGTGGAACAGGACATAGGTCCTGGTGGTCCCAACAAAATGCACAGAAAGAGATGAGAGTGCACTTGCACTTCAGGGAGTATTAGAAGACTGTGAGTCACAAGTGAGCACATCTGGATCTTAAGCCCTTTTTTTGGGAGAATTAGGAGAATTTCACTTTCCCTGCATGCAGCATGTAAGGTTGATTTTGCCCCAAGCAATTAAACGCAGGGGTCTGAGGGTCCCTTCCTGGCATAAGTTTCCTTTATACTCAGTAACAGCATAATCCAATGTCTGTTGAAAGCAATTGAACTCTAAACTGAGCCTTGATTCAGACCTAAATCATGGCTTTAGTTCTCATACTTACCCTCCCTGTCCAATGACAGGTAGTATCTTCACATTTTGTTGTATGCTATCTCCATTTTTCTTTTTTGCATAGTACATTCCTTGCCATTCCTGAAAAAGGATTTCAAGTGGAAGGAAGTTCAGATGAAACAGGAAGAGAAGCTGTAGCTTCATACCTTTTTTCATTGCAAGCTGTCTTACAATACAAAACCAGTCAGGACTGGTTAAACTGTGCTTACCCTCAAATTTCTCCCCCATAACTAACCTGTAGGTCACTGTGTTGCTGCCAATGCACAGAGAAATTCAGAGGGGCAGCCTGTGATTGCCCTGATGGCAACAGCCAAACCTCAGGTGCTGTGGGAATCAGAGCTACGTATTCTCTTCCCAATCCTACCTCAGTGGTGTTGGGGGTCACTGAGGGGAGACCTGGCAAAGACCCCTGCAAGAGCAAGAGCTCACACCAGCCCCTGCCTGGAGCAGGAGTCGCCCAGGGGCTCCAGGAGCACGCGCAGGCTCTAGGAGTGTGGGGCATCCCTCTGCCCTGCACCAGGACCACACACCACATGGCTCGGACTGCTACACTGACCTGCCCGACTTTCTCCCTGACTGTGTTGACTCCTCCCAGGACAGGAAGGTCAGCGAGAAACCATTATGCCGACCTGTCTGCCTTCAATTCTGGACTGTACTGTCTCTCCTGCGGAGTTGGGAAGTCTTATCACTAGTTAACATTAAATATGCTTGTGACTAAAAGCGCTTTGGTATCCTAGCACATTTACTTTCCATGTTGTCGGTTCAGTCTCAAAAAGTGGCAGAGATTTATCCTGGCTTTTTCAAAGCAAAGGAGAGCCTAATAGGATAGCTACTGGATTCTGCCTCTCGTCTGCTCACCTCCCCTCTAAAAGCACTCTGGTTTCAAGATCACATTTAAGTAGGCAATTTTTGAAATATCAGATTGTCATTACCAGTATCATTGTTTTTAATAGAATTCATAAATAGCAATAAAAAGACAGAGTGGAAAGGAATTTTTCATTTTGCAGTGAGAAGCCTTTTTTTTTCTTCTGGAAATGAAACATTTCTTTCTAGTGCAAAGCCTTATTTTCTCTTTCAGTGAGACTCTGGAAATGTCCCTTCTCCCTTGTTTAAGACATGCTTTTAAATGAAATACTGTTAAAACAATCACTTTTGTAGAGATTTTAAATCCAGAAGACATCACCATGGTCTAACACCCAGCCCCAAACCACCTCCCTGCAGCGGAGCCCACACCCACGAAGCAGGAGAGCTCCCACGCCGACATGGGCAGACAGGGCTAAATGCGGTTTCAGCACACACCGGGACATGGGCCCCTTACCTCTTGCTCGCTCCCAATTCCCTCAACACGCTGCTGCTGCTTCTCAAACTGTGCTAAAAATAACAGAGCAAAGACATATACTACAATACTGACGGACCCCCCCAGGTCTCCCCTTGCGTGTGGTGCCTGGACTAGAGTTGCCCCCTCACAGGGCTATTTAGGAAAACTCAGGGAAAGAAAAATTTGGGAACCCTGGGTCTCCTCCTTCCCTTTCTGGCAGCAGCACAGAGGCAAGTAACCTTCCAACAGAGCCAGTCTTTTGTAACCTGGCAGCTGACAAGATTTACAATCTTGCCTACACATTGCCATCCCTAGAATAGTTGGTGGTGGTCTTTTTTAATAGATGCATATTTTGAGCTGGATATCTAATAAATACTAAGTGATTAATAAATAATTGATTCCATATTGCATATTCACTTAATACAAACTACCCATGCCAACTGCTGCCTTTCAGTTCAGTTCAACAGACTGTAGATCAGATCTTACAAGTGTATGTGAAAATACCTTCATGAGGCACATGATACATATTTATTTATGTTAGACTGACAGATCTTGCAGTCAAGCTGGCTAGAGCACAGGTACAGAGAGAACCCTTTTGCATTTATGTTGAAGGAGCCAGCAAATAAAGACTCCAGCCCACAGAGAGCTGCACAGTGACAGGCTGTGCAGAAAAAAATATGAAAGGCTTTTCCGAGGATCTGTCGGAGAAAAGAACTGTGCATAACAAATTGTGAAGCGAGCATAGTATCTTCTCCTGTGAGCTGCATGATGAATACAAATGAAGATAAAGCAAACATCACAAAATTCAATGCTCTCCTAATTAAAAGTATGCATATCAATTGTTTCCTGACAACCACGATGAGGCAGAGATGAGTAATCGATCTCTAACCCAGGTAATAAACCTGGAATATGCACAAAGGGGTGAAGTCATAAGGTACAGATTGGCTAATTCCTGCATTGAAAGTGCATCCTTTTCAAGACAGGTTATTCATTAATGTGTTCTTCTTAGTCATAAATTGATTTTTCAACTTGTGAATTTCTAAAGCCTGTGAAACTGTGGCAGGAAATGTGTGAGGGAAAAGGTCAGCAGAATTCTGAGAAATAGGAGGTCCAAGACAAACTCCTCCTGGTAGGTAAAGTTCTCCCAGGGATGTTACTTAAACATATTTTAAGAACACCATATGCTCTCTCACAGAGCCTCTGTCAGCAATCCAACAGAGAAGAGCTACTTCACAAGACGTGCTGTCAGTCAAGCTCATCATTATGTCTACATTACAGCCACACAAGTACAGAGATCAGTCACTTCTGCACGGCCCAACATGCTGCGATCGAATGCAGAGTAAAAACCATACACAGTTAAAAAAATGGTTTTACCCTTTATAGAGTGAATCAGTGCTGAGGTTTCCAACTTCATTGAGAAGGCCATGGCATGCATTTATCCACTGAGCACTCATACATGCATAGTAATCCCCCAATTCAGCTTTCCTTTTAGATTGGTGCTTCTGGCATTAAACAGCAAAGTTCAGCAAGCTACTTGCAGAAAACAGAGCAAACCAAAATAAACACAAGATGTCATGAATACAATCTCACAGAAAGGAAGGCTGAGTTAGGAAGGAATTGCCATAGACCTTCCTTTATCGTAGAGTGCGATCGCTCTCCCACCTCCTCTGTAAAGATAGCTATGTCACAAATAATTCCCAAGAAGTGAGAGGAATTGTGTGTCTTGTGTGACTTATCAATAGCTATCCATCTCACTTCAGAAAAAGCGAAGCTAAGATAAAGAGCTTTGTGTCAAACTTCAGAGATCAGAGGCAGCAAGAATTCTAGTCAGAATTGCACATTTCATCTTAATGGATGTAATTTGAATCATGAAACAGAAGAATGAAGAAAGTACAACTTGTTTTTTAACTCCTCAAGTATGGATGGGTAAAAATGCCTTCTAATATTGCTGGCTTCTTGCAATTACAGCCAGCTGTAGTAACAAAAAATGAATTTTCAGAGATTTTTTTTTTTGCTAAAAGAAACAACATCCTGACCCAAGAATCCTTATGTACCATGCAACTAGCAATTTTTGTGTATAATGCCTATGAACTTTTGCCAAACAATATACTTTGCCATATACTGAACTTGCGCACAGCGCTATGTTTCTCAGCACAAGAAGGGAAATGCTGCAAGAGTTCATCTTCCTAAATTCCATTTAAAGACAAGAGGTAGATTTTATACAGCTTACATTTTTCTAAAGATCGGAAAAGCTTGCTTTCTATTATTTTTGTTATGTTACCATGTTTGTTCAAAACAGAAAAGCCAAACCTGTTGACAGGAGAGTATCACAGTAGTAGCCAGTTGGCTTTTTTGGTATGCTATAACCTATAGTAGCCAATATATAGCCTATTGTAATGGGAAGTGGTCTTTTAAATTTAGGATATAAAGAAATCACAAGGCTGAAAACAACATACAGACCATGTCAGAATGATCCAGACACAAGTTAGGCAACTCTGAAAATGCTGTAACATCTTGACACAAACAATTTCAAACTAAAGCACCTCAAAAGGCTGCAGTATTTCAAAGGTTGCTTCACACAGTTAAGTTCTACTTGCAAATACCTCCTGTAAGATTTTAATTTGCAATTCATTTTTCTATTAATATATGAAGGTAAGGCTACATAGACTGCATATTATAGAATGTTCCAAAGGGAAATACAAAAAACCGTGCAAACAGAATATATCCACCTAAAACAGCTTAAGCTGTTCCAGACAGACATGTTTAAATAAGTAGTATTTCATTAGCCCTCACAGTTGGAAGTCCTAGAGCCCGGAGTAAAATAAATGCAAGGAAAGAGATGGACTAGGGTTCGATTTCTGTCATTCACAGAGTAAAATGTATTTCTGTTATTAAAGACATTTTTATCAGCATACTAAAATATTAAAAATTTGATCACTTCCTATCTTGAGAATTGATGTTGTGGATTTAAAGCCTGACATGTCTAATGTATTTGAATTATAACTTAATAAATACTCCTTCCTAATATCACACATTTACTGAAATAATTTTGATCAGGCAACAGAGGTGTAAAGCACCACAATCCAAGCCATTGTCTGTTGCTGGGATCTCTTCCAAAAGGCCAATACACGTAGAAATGAGTGACACATTCTTCTGGAAATGCACATGCAATCTGCACCCAGCTTGAGTGCAGTTTTTGTTGATGACTGCTTTACCCTGATTTACAGAGTATGACTCATCACAACTTTGCATCGGTGCTTTTGCATCACTGCCTAGATACACAGAGTGCCATGATTCATTTTAGCATCTCCCTGCTCTGTGTCCATAACATGCTGCTTCCCTGCGGACAGTCAGTATGACCTAACTAGCTATCCTGACTGAGGTCTGAGCACGGGCCTTGACACATCTACAAACACACCATTTCCCAAATCTTTTTGTGTAACCTCCATGATCTTCCCTCTATAAGGTACTACAACATGTTCAATGACATTAGAAGCATTTACACTTCATTGTCAAAATGCAAATGAAAGCTCCTAGATGGATCCTCACACTAGAGCCACAACAGTCCCAAAGGAACATCATGGAACTACCAGGCAAACAGTAATGTCTCTCTGTAATGACCTCCTGTGAAGCCAGCTGCACTTCTTCATGCACTTTCTTGGTGCAACAAACATTTCTAATGGAAATCCATTAGAAAGCTCCCATGTCATTAGAGAATAAAAGATGTTGGCAGCTGACACCGCCTGTCACTCTCAAGTGATATTGCAAATGTCTCTTCTGATATTTTTACATTCTGAACTTGCAAATCAGCTTCCACATTTCATGCTGAAATACTTCAACATTATTCTTTTCTGATTCACATCACACTGGACAACATATGCATCCATCTCATTTCTCTTTGGTATTCCCACACCTTTTGCTACATACAGCATATATTATAAAGAAACACAGCAAGTCACTTATTTTCATAAAACATGTACCTCTTCCAAGCAAGAAAAGAGAAAGAAGCCCTTAAAAATGAGCATTTTTTACTTCCTTTTCTTGTTCGAGTAAGAAAGGTGCAAATTCTACGACTCTGTGAAGCTGCAAGTTACATCATGTGTAATCCCTGAACAATAATAACTTTTACAGGTAATATACAGCAAATGCTAAGTGATACAAAGCCATTACTCACCTTTCCTAACTTTATGCAGGAATTAATAGTATCTAGGAAGTCAGCTTTTTTTTCATTTATAGGCACTTCTGTTAATTCCTTCTCTATTAGTTCACCTATTTGATAGCCCATCATTGTTTCAAAAGCAGGATTGACGTACTGTGAAATAAAAACAAACAAAACCCTATTCAACAGAATACTTAAAAGCACAACAGAATCCCTTTTTTTTTTTTTCTATTTGCTAAACCAAGGGATCTCTTTCCCGGCCTGAAATCAATCTCTGTATGTACTGCTCCTGAGAGAGACGCCTACATTTTTTTCTTTGTGAAGCAAAACAGGAATGTCCATGCTAGAAAAGGTGTGCAGAGTGTGTGCATGTGAGCAAAGAGAGGGAAATTATGGAAACAGCTGTGTATGACATATCCACAGAGTTTAGACAGACAACATAAATTCCTGAAAAATAAGTTCTGTCAGTTCTCAAGTCTATAAACCTCAAATCTACCCTCAGTGTTCCTAAAAATCACAAATTAGTTGGTGGGATACCACAGGAATATTAACCTTATCTATTGACAAAATCATCATCTTATTGTGTGTAAGGGCCAACCATCACTATTCCCCTGTCCACGCAAAGCCCAGCCAAGCAGACTGGAAGAAGTGGAATCTGATAATGCAACTTTCTCTCTGAACTGAATGTTGCATTTTGCTGCAATTTTTTGGCCCTTGCTCAACAAAACTGAAGACTGGTAACCATAGCCTACACCTTCATGACACTCTCGCTAGCTGAGTTACAGACACAAGTCCTGTCATAACAGCATCTGAATGCCTCACAACTTACAATGTTTCAATATGAGAGAAATGAAAAGCGTGCCACTGGATGCCCTCTGCTCCTAAAGGTTCCCTGCTAAAGGTTCCTTTCAAAAGGTTCTCCCCACTACATGAGAAAGCCCTGCCTGCTGGAGCTCCAGGACTCTTGCACATGTTGGTTCTCTCGTATTCTGGGGCTGCCAGCAGAGGGACAAAATTTGGTCTGAAAAAGCATATTTAAAACAACTTCAGGATATGTTCTGTTATTTTTGTAAAAAGGATGAAGGTGGCACATCCTTCAAAGAAATTGTTGTTGTCAAGATTTGGGTCAAAGAGGTGCAATTCATATGCATGTTGTAACTCCCAGAGGCTTAGACTCGAGCTCTTTACTGACAATAAAATCACACCTCACAGACTTCATAGCTGGGGATAAGACAGATGATGTTTTTTGAGGACTGCAAACCTAAGCACAATTTCTTTTCCCTTTTTTAAAAAAATTTCTGAGAGAGGATTACATTCAAAAACTGTTGGCCCAAGAATTCCAATGCATCAAACAGTATCAGATTTAAGCAAAAAAAAAAAAAAAAAGAGTGTACTACCTTTATCTAAATAGAACATCAATTAGATTTGCTTTTCAAAAGCATCAAATTAGCACACAATATTTTTGGAAAAGAATGCATACAGCCAATGGCTGCATTCAGTCATGATATAAAGGAATCATTACAAAAAATAAAACCAAGAGAGTAAATCCTTATTCATTCAGAAACAACAATCTCCCTTAAAATTGACTTGATTTATGCAAGGTATTTTAAATGGAGAAAATTCTACACTACAGCTAAACTCACTCCAATCTTTTTAGAACCATTCAGTTAGATTCTTGTACTGTAAGAAAGAGTAAATGTAATCATGGATGAAATAAATTACAGTCAGTCCACAGAGCAATTTTCTGTACTTATAAAAATAACTGGAACAAACCTGTATTACATGGTCTTCACTTGTGATCTCAATGGCTTCTTGACTTTTCTCTAATGCTGTAAATAATGAATTACATACCCTGGAGACAAAAAAAAAAACAAACAGCATCTGATTAAATTTAATCCACGTAATTCCTATTGTTAATGACAATAAGGTATTGCAACTCCATACTGAATAAAGTTGTACTTTAATGATTAACATATTTTCTTCAGCTAACTGACATTCTGTAATTAACTACAGTACAGTAAAATAAATATCCTTTTAAAGATGTGGCTGAATTGGCATTTTTTTGTTGATAAAGTTTTTGGTAAAATTACCTTAGTTTGAATTGCGCCCGCACTTCTCCAAATTCCAGCTGAATCAACTCATTGTAACAGGCCATTATATTAGAATTTTCTACATATCTCTGCAAATAAAAGGTTAGAAATTTTTCATTAATACACATTTCCATACTCAAGGGTATGAAGCTCTGTTTTCTTTTGCTTGATAAAGAACTAAAAAGAAGTAGATATGCCAAAAATGAGTATGATGTAACACAAGCAATATAAGAATAATATTTTTGGGGACTAGTAAAATTCTTCAGGTTACTGCATTTTGAAAAGGTGACAGATCCTCATGGCAATGAGGTTCAACCAATCTGTTTATTCTCTGTGATTGTCAGCATGCTCAATATATAAAATAAACTACTTTTAATTAGTTACATGCTTTCATGCTACTTATGTACAATAACAGTGAAAAAATTATGTTGTGTCTCAAGTCATCAAAATTTGAGATTATTATGAGTTTCCAATTACTAATACCCCAAATTGTATACACAGAGGAAAGCAAAACTTCCTGACAAATATACATGCCATTGGATACAATTATGCATTTTGGGGCTTTCGTAGCAATGACCTCAGTATCTGATTTTTTTAAAAAAACATCTCATACTTACCAGGTATGAGCCTGAATGTTAAATCTTTGTTCATGCTAAACTGCCACAGACATTGATAGTTTGGGAGGGAGGATTGATTATCAAAGGTAAGCCTCCACATCAAGGCTGCTAAAAAACATTTTCTACGCTTTGCTGTTAACTTTGCTCCAAGGCTGTGATCCATAAATAATTCAGAACCTGTGCTGGATGACTTATGTGCCCACTGGAATGACTCTGTACATGTAAGTACAGTTATTTTCAGGCTCTAGCATTTCCTGTATTAGGACTTTACTACAAATAAGCAAATAGCTGCAAATGGATTGTGATGGGATAGCAAAAAATCTGGTAAGCATGCAACCAAATACTCTGAATCACACTGTAAATCATGCACATTTTTGTTCCATTGTCAGTTTAATGCAATGAGGAATCCACTTAACTGACTCACTAATAAGCACCTTTCCTGCTTAATTGGAATAGTTGCCAAGGAACAGATTCAATGTAATACTTTTCAGGTGCCTCCAAACAATAGATAATAGCACTTGACAGTGTCTGAAGCCTGTTTACAGATATGAATTGGCATTTGATAGAAGAGATTTCCCACAGCACATTCTGTTGTTCATTGCAAGCTGCTCTCTGGCTGTTACAGTCACTAATCAATTTTGTCAATGACAACTTTTGAAGCAGAGCATCATATATGTATTCTGTAATAAATGTATAAAGCACAAAAGTCTCAGCACCACTTCTTATATGCCTAAGAATGTCTACCTACTTAGTCAGCATTATTGTATTTCTACTGGTGTATGGTAGTTCAGAATTAGGATATATATGTAAGAACGCGCAGCATGAACAAGATTTACAGGTTGGATTACTGACAAAAATGGTCACTGACAGCCAAACTTCCGGATAGTTTCTTGTATGACAATTTTGAAATCTTAGAGCAACCTAGTAGAGTATTACACATACATACCCTTGTGAAGCCAGCAGAGATCAGGGGCAATATTGATGACTCTTCACGATCAGCATGCCTGTTAAAGAAGAATGATAAAGTCAGAGATTATTTCTGTAATCAGCTGAGATCCAATTTCACAAGCCATTGACATACCTGTACCCCAGATATCACACTGAAGGCTAATATGGCTAGATCCTTACAGGATCTGTGAATAAAACATGTTTTTGTGGGTTTTGTCAGCTTTCATCTTTGGCGTGGCTAGGCCAAAATGTTGTTTTCCTTTTTGCATGTAACAGCTGCTTACATCACAAAAAAATAAAGCTTAAAAAAACCCAATTAATTGGCTAGATTGTTGGACTGTTCCTTCTTTTTTGGTACTGGATTCTTTGTTGTTTATGTTGTCCTTAGGCAAAGATGCACTTGAAGGTCTATATGGCCAGAGTTTTAAGAAATGACTTGTTAGCCGAGTGTACCAAATCTTAGGTGGGCAACTGAAGATGCTTGAATGAAGATGGACTTTCTAGGATTGCCTACCCAGCGCCTTCTAGCAGGTCACTTTGGGATGACATACTCCTAAATGAAATATTTGGATAATTTTGAAAAACTTGGCTATACTAACTGTTAAAAGGCACTCCAACATATGTAAATGTACGTCTGGAATCTGGAAGAAAGGCCGTTATGTTAAGTTTCTGTAAATGAGCAGATGGAAGCTGGTCAGGTTTAGCAGATGGCACAATAGCTTTTATTTATGTGTGAAATTTTGGATCTTACGGCACCTCTTCTTTTTGTTTTCTGTGCTCTTGTTTCTTATGCATGAAGAGAATGATGCCTACTAAAGTACAAGGTTTGCTCAAGATTAAGCAGAGAAAGGACAGCTGTCAGAAAAATCTCCCCATTCCTCATGCCAGCTATCTGGTAATGCTGCCTCCCAGAAGCACAAAGACAGGCATTCTGCAGGGAAAAAAAACACCAAAAAACCAACGAACTGAACTGCACGAAAATGCAGAAGACCCTCCATATGCTACTGGCTAAATGTCAGGCTTTTTCACAAATATGGTTCTTGCAGCAAGAAAGGAAATGTGTGAAAGTTCTCTGTCTGTGAAATTCTAAACAGGGACTCGAGAACACTTGTGTTTAGCACATGGGAACTTGACATAGTTAACTCAGTCCCAGTGAAAGGCAAACTCACTTCTGAAGTTTTTGGTAGACAGGGATAGTAGACACATCTGAAAAGCCTGAGAACTGAAGCTTCTGAGATACTGTCATGGCAAGGGGTTATTATCTTGTCCCAACACACAATGCGAACATTTTGAAAAGTCAAAAATGAATTGCAGGGAAAAAAACCTTTTGAGCAACTTCCTCATTGTGAGTCAGCAAGCCCAGCTTCCAAACTCTCCTCACTTTTGAAAGGAACTGCTGGCCCACAGAACCACAGGTGTCTTTCTGTCTGATGTACATGAAGCAGCTCTTGAGTTACTGCTTGCTCTTTCATTCCTTTTTTTCTTCTTCTGTGTTAGTCCAATGAGAGACAATTCTGACTGTAGAAGCAATGGTTACCGTAGTCAAAAGACCTAACATAAAAACATTGAAGATGATCTTCACAATGGAACCCCTTGAAATGTTTAATTAGAGTCTTTTGTTCACTCGGGATGGTGGTGGAAGACAGGATTTTTAATGGGAAATTTCAACACCTCAGAATAAATGTTTTCAGAATAAATGTTTTCTGAGAAATGGACATTCCCAAAATTGTATTTTGAGGAAACTATCTTCCATTTATTTCATTTCAGATTAAATATGTTCCATTTTTATTACTTTTACATTATTTTGTGATATATGAGTAATGTTTTCAGAGGGAAGAGAAGGAAAAAAAAAGCACATGCACTACTTTACTGAGATGTCATAATATAGTCTATTTTACTTTTAAAACTTCTATGGTCAGATGCTGCTTTGTACTGATCAAATTGTTCTGTATCTTTTTTTGTAACTCAACAGATCCCCTGTTTGTGCTGATATTAATCAGACTGAAGGACAGATCAAGAAAAGTTCAAAAGTCAGATCTATGAGGCAGTTCCACAGTTCTGTACATGATGTTGCAAAGGTTGTTTGAAACATACTCCTAGAGCCTGCAGTGATCAGGAGAGGGGAAAAACCAACCAACCAAACAAAAACAACACAAACAAACCACAAAAAAAACCCCAAAAGAAACCCCAAAGTGAGACCTCTTCAGTAGAAACTAGAAATCAAAAATCCTGTCCCAGTCCTGTGGTCAAGGATGGTGAAAACTCTATATGGTATTACACATTATTGCTGGCACAGTAAGAATTTCTAATTCAATTTTTTTAATGTAGTATTTACTTTTACAATTATAAAATTTACATTTTGTTGATCACATGTGAAAGTAAAGATATGAGTATTTACCTTTGTACTACACCAATAATGACTGTATTTTCTGAGGGTTTCGTTGTTCTGATAGACCTTTAAATAAAAAGCAAATCATTTAACTTTTTTTAAGTTCACATTTCAGAAAACACAACTTCACAGAATCTTCACACAGTACTTTTCTTAAAATGTCTCTTTTAAATGGTTTAACAACAAAACAAAAATCAAATCCTGAGCCTGCTGGACCACTAAGAAAGGAGAATAAATTTAGTAGTATCTGATATGCCATGAAAAAAAGACACAAAGAATTTATTAAGCTAAACCTCATATACTCTCAGTGGGGGAACAGCAAAAATTCTCTCCTCTGAAACGGCAGGTAATAGGACTTGTGGGAAGGACTTGGCCTCACTCATTTAAGGAGCTTTTTACTTAATTCTGGCACAGAATGGTAAAAATGTAACAAGGGGAACAACAGTGATGCCTAGTCTTTGCCTGACAAAGATCTTATCTAGTTATTTTAGTTTAGCAAGGAGAAGAGCCTTTGTCCCAGTGCCCTGAACCCACCACACTCACCCAGGGTACACAATCTGACCTCGCCACCCCCACCCCACAGACTGTTATTTAGTCTAGACACATTCCCAAGGGGTATTTCACTGGAAAGTCACTGAAGCAAGGCACTACTGCCTGTCAGGTCTCCGTGGAGAGACTCAGAAAGGCAAATCCTTTTCCCTTTTTTGATACTTTACAGCAGTTTGTGAAAGTGCTTTTGGAATCAGTTTGCAACTTTGCTGTTCATAACAGATTTTCAAATGTTGTAGGTATGGAAACATGCACACAAAACATTGTTTATTTACATCTGGAGTTGCTCAACAGCAAGTGACATTTAAAAAAATTCAAAACACTAATGAAGTGAATGTATTCATTAAATTGCCTGGTGGCACATGCTGTCTTTACAGTTAATTTAATGTGCAAACAAGAAACTAGGTATTTGATGGGGGGGGGGGGGGGGGGGAAGTTCATTATGGCAAGAAATTTGTACACTGTAGCTACAAGCCAGATTGAGCTTCAGATATCTCCGCACACAACCAAAAATGCTGCAGCTATCAGATGTAAAGCATTGAGGTAACATTATTTGATGCTGCCAGTGGACTCTATCCAAAAAAATATCAACGTTCGATAAATTTTATAAGAGTCATAAAAAAGCAAAAAAATTTTGATGATGTGTTAACTATATAGTTAAACATTTATTACACTCAAATGGTGCTTACCTGCATAACGCTTCTGCATCAAAGCATCTGGAATGTCTATGGTCAATAATGATAATGTCATGGTGTTTATCAAGAAAACATTCTAGTGCAGACTTTGGTGTCCTGGCAATATTACATCGAAATCCAGCTTTCTCACATGCCCGACGGAACCCATTACTCTGGTTGTCTTCTTTGGCAAACACTAAAAGTACCTAGGTTAAAGATAGACAGAGAATCATTACAAACAAATCTTACATATACAGTAGATATTGTGACTTTTTCCTGTTCTTAACATGTTTTTTTTAAAGCCACTTCCAAGGCTTAATCCACTGTTTTTAACAGAATTGCTTTCTACAGACTACTGCTTTTTGTAATTGCCTGTATACAGAGGTGTTTCAAGTGGATAAAAAGTCTGCCAAAACCATTTATATCCACGTGGGATGAACAAGTTTGGGAAGTGGCTCTCTCATCACTAGCTACAAAGACAGCTTAAACAATCAGTTGAGACTAGGTGCCTATGTTTCAGACAGCATACATGAAATAACAGCGAGCCTACTTTTCTTCACTGAAATTATCTCACTTACAACCGTTTTCTTCTGTTTTGTTTTTCTTGCCAGAATCATATTCCAGGAAAAAAAAATGCCATGGTTCACCTCGTGTGAATTAATATTTAACAGTGCTTCAATGGCATGATGAAAAGTGTGCTTTCCTTTTCATCTCATTCTAGTTCCTCAAAGTACTAGATGCAGCCCACTCTGCAGGGCTTCCGGAAACTACAGACAGGCTGGTCAAGATGAACTCATGCAAGACTGAAATCATAAGCAGTACCTCTGTATATGGAGTATGTCCCCATGTGACTCTTATGCAAAGCTTGCTATGGGATTTATATCACAGGAGAGTACCGTGGTTGAAATTCAGAACTGGAAGTCAGATCTCTGAGTTAGCATTTGCTCTCTCCTAACTTGCTGTGTAATTGCCAATAACATTAATCTCTGAGCCTTTTTAAAATCAATACAATGCCTACATACACAAAGTATGATAAAGCCCAATTCTTTCTAAGATGTTTTTCAAATTCTAGGACTGAATATGGTACAAAAGGTAAACATGAAGCCTGCTAAAGAAGACTCTCACTGATGTGATTGTGCTTTGCAGCAAGATAGTATTTTGCAGAAGAAAACTTCTTTTGCCTGAAAGAATACACAGAATGGCAGACTATAGAACTACGTTAGTGTTGATTTTGTGGATGACTCAGCATATGTAGTCTTTTGGGAAAGATGGATAACTAAACCAGCATTTGGTCTATTGTCCCAAGACACCAATCTTTCAGTAATTTAATCAAACCACACTTAGATATATGCTTTTGTCAGACAATAATGTGGAGCATGTGTAACTCGCACCACATCCCACTGCCATGTATCTTCTGGGTGATTTTAGGAATTCCAGTGCTGGTTAGACTTTGGACCAGGTTGGCGGAACGTCTACTAGTAAATCTTAACATTTCCATGTAGTGCATATTTTTGTAAGAACGAAGGAAGGACTTTGTACTCATTTAGTTCAGATTCCTTTTATAGCAACCTGCAAAACTGTTTGCAAAAACATGTCATAGTTTGGGCTATATTTAGTGAAGTTAATTTATAACACTCTTTAAGAGTGGAAGAATGGTTTTCAGCAATAGCACAGAAAGTCAGCAGATCCGAATTGTACGACTGACTCTGGCACAAATGTGATGTTGTCTAACTTCTCCTTCCCTCGTACCTGCCAGCTATATTACTAGGATAAATTGGTAGAATTTTAGAGTGGTCTATGACTGGACAAAGGCGATACAACCAATAATAACAATAAAGGAGGCAGAAATATTTGAGGAATGTTTCTGATTTATACTTGGGGAACAGCTGGATGAGGCTGTCCTAAGATCTGATGTTTGATAATATTACTGTCTGTTCTGACCATAGCTCAGGAAGATGTTGAACTGTAGCTCTTGAAGACACATATTTTCAAATATCAGGTCCAGATTACTTTCACTCAGGAGTTTTGTAATTACTGACTGAGGAACATCTTGGATTATTAATGATTCAGTATGCCTTGGGATACAGGAGAATTTTCACAGGAAGTCCAGAGCAGTCATGTATCTGCAAGCCTCATACCCATCCCAGACAAAATAAGGGGACAACTGACATACGACCTTTATTAATAAAGAGATAAAGGAGGATGAATTAATGCCAGTCAACAATGAATAACAGAAAAACATCTTTTGCCAAGCTCACATTGTGTCTTTTGTGATGATATTGCAAGTTTGGTTGATGCTAGTAATAAATGCTGGTGTAATAGACCTTGACAGAACATTTGGCTTAGTACCATTTTGATGAGATTTTGATTAAGAATTGACTACCAGTAAAATACAACACAAGGCACACAATAAATTGATTACAAGCTAACTGATAGCAGAAAGAACTACAGACAGCTCTATTTTTATGAGCAGAGAGAGAGGTGGAGAAAAGAGTTAGGCAGGATTTTTAGGATATCACATAGGATATCACATGACATAGAACGTCATGATAAAAATCTGTTAGGTGCACATTATCACTTGACAAAAATGCTCTGTGAAGGTCTCTACACCCAAAAAATTCTAGTCATAAATTTTAAGCTAACATCTGTGATGTTTTAGAAATGAAGACTTCAGTTTGAACTGTTGTATTACCTGAAGTTGATCTTGATGAAGTCTCATGGGGCCAAACTGCACATCTGTTACTGGTGCCTAGAAGAAATAAGAAGGGATCTTATTAATACATAAACATCTAGGGAAGAAGAAAAATCAGCTCTGTTAGAGAAGACATTTCTTATTTACCACAGTCTCACAGATATATTGCTATCATTATGAGGCTGCTTCTTCATGAGAGGCTTATTCTGCTTTTGTAAATTTATATGCTAAGCTGCATTAACAGAGTTAGAAATCAACAAACTATTCTTCAAGTCATTTTTTTATTGTTATTTTAAACACGAGGTAATGGATTAGTTATGAAGTTTGGTAGACAGACTTATTTTTCTGTATCACTCCAGCTGTTCTGCAAAACATGGAAGTGTTTAAAAATTGCTTTTTTTAAAAGTCCAAATAGTCATTAAATCTCCAGGAGAATGGCAAAAACACATAACTCTGCTCTTAGAATTTCACGTGTAACAGGTGTTCAAGAGTATTACAAAAACACACTAATTTCATTTCTCCAAGAGCGTTTTGCTGCATTCCCTCCTTCCCACCCAGCCCCCCCAGGGAAGGTCTCAGAACTCAGATATTTGTACTTGACAATGCATGTATTCAGCATGCAACTTTGCTTTGAAAAACCCTGCAAAAATGCTGTCATATGTCATGCTTTCTGCATGTCAGTGATTCCCACATTAGATTCTGTTCAAGTAACACAGGCAAACAGTTTAGCTTAGGATTCACGAACTGAGCTGGGATCCTTCCTTCTCATGTGTCGCTTCAAGGAATGGAGGTCAATGACCGGAAGTGCTGTTTATCGCAACTGTTTCTCTTTGATACAATTAATCATTAATCAAGCTTGAACGTGAATGACTCTTCAATTGGTATGGGGCAGACTTTCTAAAGTAGTTAAACACATAAATACAGAGGGAGACTCTAATAGGATTATGCAGGTTAGATTCTTTGGGAATTCCCACGAGGCAAGTATCTGCACTTTCATGTGCTTAAATATTTTTCACCTCTTGTCTCAGAAATGAAAACTAAAAAGCAGGAATAACAATGCTCCCGGCTCAAAACGGGAAACAGAGTCCAACCAATGGTCCTTGGAGTTACATAGACTCTTCAAAGGTAACTGGAGTAAAAAAAAGCAGAAGAAAATTATTTTTGGTAATGCAGTAAACAGAAGACATCTCTGGATTCGTATGTACAAAAGAAAAGATCTGTTGAGCACAAAGGCGGCATTTTTACATTGTTGTTTTTCAAAGTAAAACCACACTTGAAGATGAGATTTATTGCTTTGCAGCCTAGAATTTTTCCGGTAAGTAATTTTCAAGAATCATCAGCACGTCCCACAGAGAAATCTTTTAGAATTACACGCTCCATTCTTTCTATGGCCTTACTGCTCCATTGCTCAGTCCTCAGAGTTTCTCATGTGTGATTTTATTTATTTATCAACTTGGAAATCATCACTGCAACATTAAGTACGCAAGAAACATGAGTCCAGGAAAAAGGGCAACATAGTGACTGCAAAACCAAGCCAGGAACCAGTGTTCGCCTGTTTAAGAGGTCCTCTAAAAGCTGATGTTAAAATGACATGGAGGGATTTCAGATTTACTTTCAGTCATTCTGGTCAGAGCAGCTTAGTTTAAATACTCTCCAGTCAATTTTTTCTAATTTTGAGACCAAAACCCTCTTCCATTGGAAAAATCAAGCTGCTTTATTCTCCCTTGCAGCCCATCATCCAATTATTCAAAATCTGCATGAGAAAATAGCAAATACTTTTGCTGATAATGCACATAGCAGGAGGGAATCCAGCTCTTTGCACCAGTGTTACTGGTTTTGCAGCACTGACAGTAGTAACTACTTGTCCTGAATCAGTAAGATCAGCAGAAATGCCTGAAGGAAACAGAGGGAGCATATCTACCGAGTAAGAGATGCCTTTTTACAGTCAATTCTCTGACCATAACCACACCTCAAATTAAATTTTGAAACATTTATTTTGTACATGCCAGCTGCCAGCATAAAGCAGCAAGTGTTTTCAGTTTCACCAAGCGATGGGCCTGAGCTGTGAGGTTCAGATCCAGAGCTGAACTTCACTGGCATTTGGGGGTACCTAAAACCCCATCTATCAGGCCAGATAGTCCAGCCCCCTTGGACTATCAGTCCCAGTCCAAGGAGAATTTTAACAAATGAGATAAACCCAGTATTGCCAGTTACTGCTTTTCAGACACTTCTTTTAAAAAGGTTGTGAATGAATAGTCATCAAAGTATTTAAAGGATTGCACCTGAAAAACACTTTTCTGCCAGAAACCTGTGGCCATTTCTACACTGAAAATATCTGTCTATGCACCACTTAGGCTTAAGTTACAGGCATTGCCCAAATGAGATAAACTGACTTGTTACACATTAACTTGTTGTCCTGAGTAGAAGAAAAATCCTGGTCTGCATCTCAGCTGGAAAATTTTGGTGAACTCCAGTTAATTCTTAATCCTGTTGAAATCTGTTCAAATAACTTGATTAATCATTTCAACTTTTTGTGTGCTGCTGGTAGCACTGAGAAGTAACATGCTGATTAGTACTGTGTCAAAAATCAAGGCTTCAGCAAGGATTAGCAGAAACTCAACTATCGGTGAACTAAATGAGCTTTAAGAATACTTCTAATGCTGCAAGCTTATAACAAGACCAAACCCAGCCAAAGCTCACTCGAATAGTAACTGCACAAACACATCTTTATGCACTCATACCTTTTGCTACTTCTTCCTTGAAGTTTCTTTCCTACTTGAAAAACAAAAACCCAAGTACATTTTCAGATTGAGAGACATGACCTATGCATGTGACCACCTTCCAGACAGGTACAAACCTGTAAGTAAACGTATGAGAAGACAGAGGGGTAGAACTAGTTGTAGGTTCCTGGAATTGATTGTGATAGAGCTGGGTCCCTTGCCAAAGAGCCACTGATGCAAACTTCATGAATAAGTACAGCGTCTGTGAGTGTGGCAAGACCTGAGTCCAGGGCACTTTGAGCACAAGCACCCTGACTACGAATGCACATCTTTTGAAAATCGTTCCTTGGTCAAACATCCTTATAGGCCAGCCTATAACTTGGAGCCAGGGACCAATCAAACAGATGGTAGGAAGGGGTCCTGCTGCAGATTTCCGACAGCATAGGCTACTCTTACTGAGTCCCATACTTAAACCATCCCAAGAGTGCAGGCTGGTGCCAGGGCTCATGGTCTCAAAGACATCCAAATGCCAGAATAGTTTGCAATAGTAACTAATTCTAAGGCTTTCGAAAATGCAAACATTTTTGGCTCATCTGTGCTAGTGGAACTTCCAGAATAGCTGCAGCTCAGTTTCTCTAGGTCTGGGGAGTGAGCGATGCCTATGATAGCAGGTTGCAGGTCAGCAACTATTAGTTAGCTTTAATTGCAGATGGCAGCTCAGTTACTGCAGCAGCAAGCGTCTACACCCTCTGCTTACAGACAGCAGATAATCTACTCCAGGCTACTTTAAATGCTTACACACAGCATTTGCAGCCATTTTACATTCTGACTGGCTGAACTACTGCTAGTAGCAGTTACTTTCCGCAAAATTTGCCTTTCTTACTTGAACATTGTATTATCTGCCCTGTCAAACCAGGCCTGGCCCTGGCACAAAGTGAGATCCATCCCAAGGCAATCGCATTATCCACAGATGCGATAGCTGTCAACGGGGAGTTCTTCTACTGACTGCTGTGTGCAGTTTAACACTTGCTATAAATTATCTGCAGGTTGCAGCAGCTAAGTTGCAAACATTGAAATTGCTGATAGAAATACTTCCTGCTTCCAATGTCCAGAGAAAAGTGACTGTTTGGTAAATAAAAACAACTGAAATAAGCTTTAAAAAGACAGACCCAAACAACTGTGACTGATCTGATTAAAGTACAGCAAACTCAATGTTGACCTGACATGACCTGGTAAAGTACTTCTCACTACGAGTCATTCTTCACATTTTACCTGAAGAGAGTCTACAGGAATGGTCTGTTCATGGTTGCTGGGTTTGTTTGGTTTTTTTCTTCCTACAGCTAGAAAAACTTTACATGAACTGGCTCAATGAATAAATGTAGAAAGGAATAAAGGGTGGAAATAAAGCCAGCTTGATCCACGTGCTCCCTATGGTGATAAACTGCCTGGCTGGCATGTGGGACACATCAAAGCAGCCCACAGGCCTCCTGTTTGCTAGAGGTCTCATATCTTGGCTCTCTCCGAAATGCCTCTCTTACTGTTACCAACTAGAAAGGAGAGCAAACCTCCTAAAAGGGCAGAGTTAGCCCCCGAAAAATCCTTTGGCTATTAACTCCCATGCAATACTCCTGCTACGGAGGGGCAAACACATTCCTTCTGAAGGCTGATTTTCTTAAGTCACTTCTTTTATGAAGCTTTTGTGGGATGTTTTAAAGCAGAGTCCTGCAGAGCCCAAGGTAACCCTCGTAAGAGCTGGGACCGCAGCCTGCTGCAGCACTCCCCACTCACGAGAAGGGTTGGCTGGGGAGCTGCTGGCGTTTGCCTGAAATCCTCCTCCACAATCCACAACTGCTCCATCACTTCCTTTCTGCCACAGATGGGGCTGTGCAGATGACAGGAATGACTCTTCGTCCAGGCATGTAATCACCATGCACAGCCCTGGCCTCCTGCTAGTACCCCTCCCTAAAGGGCAGCTGGTAGCATTTCTGCCCCTGCTGCTCTTCTCGCCTTTTCCAGGTTAGAGTTTGCAGGAGGAGATGCGACAGCTTATTTTTCCTGCAACTGACGTGAACAAAGAACTGACATAAACTTTTGCTAAATGGATTGCAGATGGAAACTGCTGCTGTACAGCTAACATCCATGTTTAGAAAGCAGACAACGAGAAGAGAATTTCTGTTCGCTGTTTAACACTAAGTAACTGCCTCTTCAGATAAAGACTTCAACCTCAAGGCTTGGACTCATTACAATATAGGACATAGATAACTACAATGATTAGACATAAGACTTTATCACTGGTTCTAATGGACTACAGCCAGCAAAATTCATTATTTTACTCAG